CTTGCCTCAGTTAAGGTTAGTGTTCATGACTCCACCATAAGAAAGAGACTGGGCAAAAATGGTCTGCATGGCAGAGTTTCGAGACGAAAACCGCTGCTGAGCAAAAAGAACATAAAGGCTTGTCTCAGTTTTGCCAGAAAACATCTTGATGATCCCCAAGACTTTTGGGAAAATACTCTGTGGGCTGACTAGACAAAAGTTGAACTTTTTGGAAGGTGTGTGTCCCATTACGTCTGGCGTAAAAGTAACACTGCATTTCAGAAAAAGAACATCATAGCAACAGTAAAATATGGTGGTGGTAGTGTGATGTCTGGGGCTGTTTTGCTGCTTCAGGACCTGGAAGACTTGCTGTGATAAATGGAAGCATGAATTCTGCTGTTTACCAAAAAAATCCTGAAGGAGAATGTCCGGCCATCTGTTCGTGACCTCAAGCTGAAGCGAACTTGGGTTCTGCAGCAGGACAATGATCCAAAACACACCAGCAAGTCCACCTCTGAATGGCTGAAGAAAAACAAAATGAAGACTTTGGAGTGGCCTAGTCAAAGTCCTGACCTGAATCCTATTGAGATGCTGTGGCATGACCTTAAAAAGGCGGTTCATGCTCGAAAACCCTCCAATGTGGCTGAATTACAACAATTCTGCATAGATGAGTGGACCAAAATTCCTCCACAGCGCTGTAACAGACTCATTGCAAGTTATCGCAAACGCTTGATTGCAGTTGTTGCTGCTAAGGGTGGCCCAACCAGTTATTAGGTTTAGGGGGCAAACAGTTCTTCACACAGGGCCATGTAGTTTTGGATTTAGTTTTTCCTTAATAATAAAAACCTTCATTTAAAAACTGCATGTTGTGTTCACTTGTTATCTTTTACTAATATTTAAATTTGTTTGATGATCTGAAACATTAAAGTGTGACAAACATGCAAAAAAATAAGAAATCAGGAGGGGGGCCAACACTTTTTCACATCACTGTATATATATATATATATATAAAATATTTTGACATATTTAACAGCCTTTTTGTTTTCAAATATATCATTTACAGAATTTATTTTAATTAATTGATTCAGTCATTTAGCATAATAGATGACACACAGTTAATACAAAATATGACTTCATAAAGACTTTAAAAAAATCTGTTATATGGGTGCATATATCATCTCTTTAAAAAGTATATTTTTCCACTGAAAGATTTTTATAAAAAAATATATAATCATTTTTATTTAGGAAATGTAAGCAGCCAAACCATTGATACACAATGTCTGAGTCAACATTTAATTTCAAGTTTAATGTTTTTTTAAAGCATTTTGGATTATGAAATTTATATTAGTGGCATTGTATAATGAACAAGTGTCCTCCCTCTATGATCAACATAAAGCTCAATCCTCAGATATCGTCCTGTATGATGATTTCATACTCATGTGACAAACTCTCACACTCGGAAGTGGAACATATTCCACATGCAGAAGGCAGACTTTAAGATTTTAAAATAACTCTGAAAGGAATTAGTCCTTCCAGCAGGAACCAAATAAGGTCCGACAAAGGCAGATTTGGGGAACTGCCTTCTGTTCTGCCGGCTCTGTCTATTATTAATATTTCCCCAGGGAACTGATTCACTGCTCACTGGTCACATTTGCCGCCGGCAAGTTTTTTTTTTGGCATCAAGTGTGTCCCAGTCATCTTGGCCGCAGTATTTACAGCTCAGGTGAACGTTTTGACTGTAACGTGGCATAAACTTGGAGTTGTTTAAAATGGTACACTCTTAAAAATAAAGGTGCTTCAAAAGGTTCTTCAAACGATGCCATAGAAGAACCATTTTTGGTTCGACAAAGAACCATTCAGTCAAAGGTTCTTTAAAGAACCATCTCTTTATTACGTTTTTGTAATCTGAAGAACCTTTTGTGAAACAGAAAGGTTCTTCAGATGTTAAAGGTTCTTTATGGAACCATTTAGACAAAAAGGTTCTTCTATGGCATCGTGAAGCACCTTTATTTTTAAGAGTGTAGTAAACCTATACCTTGCATACCCATACAGTATATCACCCTGGGAAATGATTAGTTTGATATTTGATATTTTAAAGATAAATGAAAGTTTTGGTTTTCTGCTTCATAGACGCGTTTAACCATTCTAAGCTATCCAGAGTGAGCATTTTTCTTTCCACGCACACCTAAACTAAATCATACTCATTTCTTTCTTTGTCATATACCCTAGGTTCTCAAAACAAATTACCCATTATGGAAAAATTCCGATTGCTCATATATTTTACGATTAAAACTCCAGTCATCGATGTTGGCCTTTGAACAGAAGAGATTGCATCAATTAGGCAATAGTTTTAAATGAGAAGTATATGTTTGTTTTTCAACAGGCTGTTTTTTTGGAGGGTGGCTGACACATTTCACCCATCAAAGTGTGCTATGCATGGCTTTGAAGTGTAAAATCCAGTTTTCTATGTGGCTTGTGTTTGTGACAGTCAAACGGAATCAGACACTTTGAAACAAGTCTAGTGTGGAACATCTGTGTGTTTGTGGTGAAGCCAGACAGTGCCACCTGCTGATTACAATTTGAACCGATTAGTTTGCCTTCACTAATTTCACTTGCTAAGGGATGTTAGTCAAGAGTGTATATGTGGCACACACACACTCTGCATATATAATAACAATATACGACAGGCAACTTATCTTCGGTTCAAACTGAGACATTTTTGTAATGATATATTATTACTGGTAATAGCGTCATTTAGCAATAATGATGTCTATTTTGATTAACCATATGGTACTCAAAGATACTTTAAAGAATACCATTGTACCATATACATAAAAATAGTACTGTGGCACTGTTTAACATTGTTTTGATAGTGCTGTATTCAGAGTTTAATATTTCTGTTTATCCTTGAAGTATATTATGGTACACCAAAAAAAAAAAAAAAAAGTTGTAGGATATACTTACAATTTTCACTCAGAAATTGTTAGTAAATTTCACAAATACTTACCATGAAACGGCATATGAACATGCAATTACTTTAATTAAAGAAGAAATTCTGAAGTAGGAAGACTGAAATAGTATTTTCTTGTTAAAAAAAAAATCTTTGTTTAAAAAAATAATTTTTAGGTGTTCTTTATTATCATATTCATATGACATGGTATTTAAATGATATTATACTGTCAAATTACCATGTGAAATACATGGTACTTTGTCAAAAAAACTAAATCTAAAACATAAAATTACCATAGAACTTGTTTGTTTACAACAAATACTTGCTCCTGTATGATTCCTGTAAGTGTTGCTGAGGCTATTTTCTGTCTAGTAGTAAACAGCTACTTGCACCACAGCCTATGATACAGAACACCTGTTGTTTTTCCTTTTTTGCACAAGAAAGCTACAGCATTTGTATCAGAATTTGGTTTGTGGGAAAATGACTGTTGCTCGTTAAACAATAGATGCACTGGAACTGCATAATTCAGTTCAGATTGTTTTTGTTTGTTGGTTTGTTTTTTGCCTTGCAATCACTTTACGTGAGGTATATATAATTGTACTCAAGTAAAGTTGGTCAGGATTTATCTTTATCTACATAATTTGCCACAGTTCATTAAAAACATCATAACCAACTGAAATCTCTTCACTTACCACACACTTTACCGAAATCTCGGCAGGATCTTTGTTCATTTTCATTGACTTCCTGTAATATACCCACTCTTAACCACACCACGCAAATAACACACATGTGAAAAACAACTTTATCTGCCTGTTCTGCCATCACGTAAACATGGGGTTCTGGAGACTTGGATTGGGGCCAGACCGTAACTAGATGTCTGGGATTGAGGGTTTTTTTCTTCTCTTGTTCAATAGAATGAGTAATAGCTGCTAGTTCTGCTCGGGTGAAAGGCTGACGGACCCCGCAATGAAATGTCACACACTAAGGCAACACAGCAATTAGCTTTTTAGGGAGTTCAGAGCACCTGGCCTAGATTTAGAAGGTCTCAGGATGTCATGTCATATTATTTTCACTTACAGCTCACAGACATAGCATGTTTCCAGTAAAAGGCCCTTTAATTTAAACAATATGGACTTTGAGAACTGGCTGAATTGCCCATCTGTCGTTCCTATGAAAACAAATAGCATAGCGATACAAAGACTGAACACCCACAATGCATTAATTCAACAGTTTTAAAATTAAAAATGCAAAATTAAGGAAAACTATATAGGTTGCTTTAAATACAAACTTTGTGTATTAAAATTTGTAAAGAAAAGTCCACTTTGAGTTTCTCTGAATTCCTTTTTTATTTGATGTACTTAAAGTATAGTTCACCCAAAAACCTGTATAACTTTATTTATATCTGTGTAACCCAAAAGAAGATATGGTGAACAATGTTTCAACTGTTTTGGTCCAAATAATGAAAGCCATCTTTCAATATAAGGACAGAAAAAATTTCTTTCAAATGATGTTCTTTTGTGTTAAACAGAAATTATTTAGAACAACATGTGTGAATAAAAGATGACATGATTTTCTTACAAGTACAATTGAATGGGAATTTATTTTTACAGACTTGTCCCATATGTTTTTCTGTTAGTCAGGCACCTCGGCTTCCCAAGGCTGGAGAGACAATACATGGACACAGGTTCTTTATTGGTTTCGGTGGCAAAGGGGCCAATCAATGCATCCAAGCTGCACGATTGGGGGCCAAGACTGCCATGGTGTGCAAGGTATCCAATATGGTCTGCTTTCCTGAACATTCTAAATAACTGAATATAGCCTGAAGTATACATAGACACAAAAAGTTTATGTTGATATCCAGCAATTCATGTATTTCAGCATTTAACCGCACAAGAGAACCTAACCAAGTAATAAAGCTCTTCATTTTGTCAGTGCAAAGACCCCAATCAATACCAAAGCGTATGCAGTGTATAAAAATAGACTCCTATGCTTTCAGAAACATTCAAAGAGAGATCACACTTCAAAGACAGGAGGCCAGGTAGTGAAGGGTCTCTGCTGCTGGGGCTTAGGACCCCATACTTGGCATTTCTTTACCAGTGTGGGATAAAAGCAGACCCAGTTGGGAAAAAAGGAACCCTTTTGCTCTCTACCTCAACACTGAACGTCTCATTGAGAGCAAGAGAAAGAGGGAGAGAGGTGGAGATTAAAGATGTATTTGTAGAGTGGAGGCATTTGTTTGGGGATGCTATATCTGGAAGGCTTGGCCTGATATAGCAATGCAGAACTTTGGCCGGTCAGCGAGTTGCTAGAAAATATCATCTCAAGTTCAGCTTTTCATCTTTGGTTGCTTTTTCTCTTTAGGTCGGCAGAGACGTTTTTGGGAACGACTACATTCAAAACTTCAAAAATAATGGCGTATCGACTGGTAATGGTCAAACAGTGCTTTTACATCATTTCACATCTAAAGCTTTGTATAGACAAGCAGCAAAATATCTTTTAAAATCAGATGTTTTAGGTGTATGCAACTCAAATATATTTAGTTTTTCATAATTGGAACAGCATTTTTCGTTATTTGAGTTGCAATGTGTGTAACGTTGTAAGTACAAAGTGTGCAAAAGTGCGAATTCACAAATATTTAGTGCCTTATAGATAATATGCCATCAAAAGCAGAAGCAAAATTTTCAGTTCTACATCCATTAATTCCATGATGACAGCTACTTTCATCATGCTGACATTTACGTCATTATTAGTCTAACAGCCGATGTAGACATGCAAAATGAACATTGACTTTAAAAAAAAATCTTCCTTTGAAGAATTAGTTATTTTTACATTAAAACAAGACAAAAGTACTGAGTAAGAACTCTCAGATTTGCAGTTGAGTTCTGTTCCTGGAAAAACTTGCAGTGCATTTTGCAACCTGATAATGACATCGTTTAAAATATATTGACCCTTATTGTAGGTATCTACATTTTGTTATTTACCTGTAGTTTAACATATTACTTTTGTGCTGAATTTATTAACTGTATTATTTATTTTAACCGTTGTATATATCAGTTTTTAGATATTTTAAAATATCTAAAATTGCTTCCTCAGTAGTTTGTAAGTCTGCATATGTACTGCTTCTATTATTATAATTTATAAACAGTAAAGGATTTTAAATGAACATTCAGACTTACTCATTTTAGTTTTGTATACTGTAAGCAATTTAGGTTATCCTCTTCTTTCTCTCTCTCTCTCTTTTTAGCCTATGCAGAACAGACTGAAAATGCTGCAACTGGAGCTGCCTCTATCATCGTAAATGACACAGGTAAAATAAAATTGGTCCGAGTACCGAGCCCTGCTGCATCTCCTGAGTTTTAAAAGCCCCTAAAATAACATAAACACCATTACGTACTCTTCTGAATGAGACATGGATGAGTGAGAAGCTCTCTACCTGTGTCCAGCTCGCCTACGCAGGGTAATTTTAGACCCATTTTAATGTAGCAGTACTTGGACTTAAAGAAAGGTGACATAACCAGCATGCCTCTGAATGAAGGCCTGCTGCATTGTAAATGTCATGGTTTAGTGATCTAGCTTAAGTGCTGAGCCTTGTGGAAGTCCACTAGCACCACAGTGAGCACTCCAAGAAGAGCTCTGATTGGCGTCATGATCACCATAACAACCTACCGAAATCCTAGTGTCACCTAGCTTCCTGTGTGAATATCACAGCAATATGAATTAGAACAATTATGTCGCAAGCTAACAAGGAAGCTTTAATGAGGAAAAACTTTGATAATATTTCCTGACTCTGCACTGTGGTTTTCCGAACACTTATGTCAGCTCTTTATTTGTGCCTGTCTGCTTGTGATGCAATAGCAAGAGAATTTCTTATATTTCATAAATTTTCGTCTGGGTGAGTAAATGATCTCCTAAATTGTAATTTAAGCCGCATAAAAATGTATGAATGTCATTGCATTTGATAACAAAATATCAAAATGGCACCTGAAAACATGCTGTTCTGAGTAATTTTTTATATTACAAAAAAGAAAAAAAAAAGAAAAGAAAAGTCCCAAAGTCATTTTAGTTTATCACATAAATTATGCACGTTCTTCTAACATACCACAGCCAAAAAAATGTCCAAATAATACTTTGTCTAAATTTTGACAACAAATTAATTGCTTTATCATTTTAAACCTAACAGACTTGTGAAATGTTTTTCTCTTTCTTTAAAACAATGATATTCTGTTTGATATTCTTTATCAAATACAATGGCATTCATACCGTGTGTCTGAATAGTGTTCAGAGCCACTGCATAGTCCCATGATGTGACCTCTGTTTTTCATGATTGCATTTCTTATAAATCTGGATTCATAGTTAAATCTCATTCTAATTACCAGTAATGTCTCCTTGTGGTCATGGTTAATATATTGTATTGACAGGGGAGAATGCCATAGTGATTGTCGCTGGTGCTAATATGCTCTTGGGGCAAGAGGAACTGCAGCGGGCACTAACTGCCATAGTAAATGCAAAGGTGCTTGTTTGCCAGCTTGAAATCAACCCAGATACATCGCTTCAGGCCTTGAGAATGGCCAGAGAGAACCACGGTCAGTCATGAATCTTCATATCTCAATATACTTGACTGTCTCACCCCACTTCCTGTTTCTCTAACAGCTCTTTCTTCAAGTTGTCAAGTCAAATTTATTTATATATCACTTTTCACAATACACTTTGTTTCAAAGCATCATAAAATCATGATGTTTATATGTTATTATATCTTCATGCATTATTGTCACATTTAGCAGATTAGCAGATAGTTTACATTTTGTGATGAAGCTATCAAGCAGTTGATAATGTATATGCTATATGGTATATATGGCCCTATGTCAGTGTATGTATGCACCTGAAGGGATAAAGTTGGACATACTTATATATCCAGCTTTTTGTAAAGTGTCGGGAGATAATATAATTACATTTTGTGACGAAAAATCAGGCAGTTGAGATTTGCTATATATTATACATCACTTTACATATGCAAAAAAATTGAATATAGTATATATATATATATAAATACAGCTGTGTGATAATACAGTTTACGTTTTAGCGACAATATAAACAACACAGCCAAGATAAGGTATATAGTATACAGTATTTTGCTTTATGTGAGTATACTGTCTGTGCACAGGTAAAGTATCAGCATTCAGTTGTTAGTTACAGCCTTCCCCTTTAATACAATCCACGTCTTACTGTGTTTCATAAAATAACTTGTTGTTCCACCCTGTTGTGGTCATCTCTATTTGCCAGCCTGTTATGTGAGTGCATTTGCTTAATCGTTTAACAACAATAGTTTAGTTCCTTTTCCTCGTCTTCCAAAAACACTCACTCCCACATTCTAAAAACTATTTTTAGCTCCTTTTACTGAATGACTGGTGAGAGCAAAGCACGACTCTTTCCTCCAATGGAAAATAACCCAACTGACTGTGTCTCAGATATCATTAGCACCTTGTATGTTCAGGTCCCCGCTGATCAGAGACACCCTGTATCCTTGTCATGGCGATGCACAATGATGCGACAAGCCCACGTCTTACTCTGTTTCATAAAATAACTTGTTGTTCCACCCTGTTGTGGTCATCTCTATTTGCCAGCCTGTTATGTGAGTGCATTTGCTTAATCGTTTAACAACAATAGTTTAGTTCCTTTTCCTCGTCTTCCAAAAACACTCACTCCCACATTCTAAAAACTATTTTTAGCTCCTTTTACTGAATGACTGGTGAGAGCAAAGCACGACTCTTTCCTCCAATGGAAAATAACCCAACTGACTGTGTCTCAGATATCATTAGCACCTTGTATGTTCAGGTCCCCGCTGATCAGAGACACCCTGTATCCTTGTCATGGCGATGCACAATGATGCGACAAGCCTATTCCACAGATGGATGACACAGATGGATACCCTCCCTCCCCACACCAACGCACCCCGATATTCACATTCACCACCTCAGAACTTCCCAGATACATGCTGTTTAGACCGTTAGCGGGCCATATTAAGTGTTAAGAGACAGCCCATTAGCCCAGATTATGCGCCTATCACTTGGGATGAATTCATCAGACAATGACGTGTGCAAATAGCACTTAGCCGGAGCTCAAGGCTTGGATTACGCACATGCCACCCCCACAGGCTCACTGGAGAAGAATCCGAGTACTGTTTTCCTAACCACATTTTCAAATAAATGAATATAAGGACCATCTAGCCTCGATTCTCTCCTCAAGTGTAGTTAATTTCAGTTAACTTCAAAGATTCTATGTAGCTAGCATGTAATTTCATACTTAGATCGAATACTGAAGGAATGTTTGATCACGAGAGCGTGAATTTAGCTCACTTTTAACTTGTGCTTCTGTTGTTTTTCATTTAGAGCTTAACAAAGCATCTCTGAACTGTGAAATCTCATGACTCATTCAATAATCTCACGTACTCGTTAGTTTTGCCGCTTGTTTTCCTTCATTATTTCCCTGCTCTTCCATTTTACGTTGTCCACTTTACAAGTGCATATCGATTTCTCACTCAAGGAAACTAGGGGCTCACTGCCTATTCTTAAAACTCTCACTTTCATTAAAGAGACAGTTCACCCAAAAAAATTATCTCAGCAAAGCTGCAACAAGGACACACACACACACACAAAATAATTTACAGTGAATAATAATTTCATTTTAGTTTGTTTCTCAGTACATTTATTAGAATATCACGGAATAGCATGCAAGTTGTATGGACTGCATTGACCGTTTTTTTTTTTCATTCTACTTCTTTACCTACTTTGGAGATTTCATTTTCCAGTTTCATTAGAAAATACCAGCTAGGACATTCTTCAATATATGAATATGAATGAAGAATGAAGAATGAATTTTCTGTTCATACATGAACATTCAGTTGTGAACTTTATAATAATAATAATAATAATGCATTTTATTTAATGGCGCCTTTCAAAACACCCAAGGTCACCTCACAAGCAAGCAAAGATAAAAAATAAAATACAAATCTCTACACAAGAAAAAAACACACAACAAACACTCCGCATATACAGATAAAGTGCAGTAAAGGCTCAATAAAACATTATAAAAAGCCTGTATAAAAAGATATGTCTTAAGACGTTATTTAAAAGTCAGCAGGCAATCGCTGTTGCGAATATCAAGGGGAAGGGAGTTCCATAGGCAGGGGGGCAGCATAGCTAAAAGATCTGGCACCCATGGTAGTTAGTCGAATCCGAGGTACTACAAGAGAAATTGAAGATGAGGATCTGAGAGTACGTGAAAGGGTGTAAACATGAAGAAGTTGAGTAAGGTATTGGGCTGCAAGATTATGAAGTGCCTTGTAAGTAAGTAGCAAGATCTTGAATTCAACTCGATACTTTACTGGAAACCAGTGCAATTGCTGAAGAACTGGAGAAATGTGCTCAGTAGAGGGTGTTCTAGAAAGAACACGAGCTGCAGAATTCTGAACCAACTGGAGTTTATGTAGCAATTTAGAGGGAACACCAGTGAGAAGGGCATTACAGTAGTCTATACATGAAGTGACTAGTGCGTGAACAAGATCTGCTGTATTATTGGTTGAGAGAAAGGGATGGAGACGGTTAATATTACGCAAGTGGAAATATGCAGTCCGCGTGATATTATTAATTTGAGTTCCAAAAGATAGTGTGCTATCCATGATAACACCCAAACTTTTAACCTGAGAGGAAGGACAGATTGCATTATTGTCAATGTACAAGGAAAATCAATTAGATTTAGCCAAAACAGATCTAGTACCAACAAGTAGGGCCTCAGTTTTGTTGCAATTTAACTTCAGGAAGTTAGCTGAAAGCCAATCTTTAATTTCAGCTAAACAGTTAAAGTTGGGTGTCATCCGCATAACAATGAAAATGAATACCATGTTTCCTCAAAATGTAACTAAGAGGGAGTATATAAATAATGAAAAGAAGCAGGCCCAAAACAGAACCCTGGGGAACACCAGTGGTGACTGTAGATGTTCTTGATCTAAAACATTTTAATTGAATACGCTGAGTGTGTCCAGAAAGATACAACATAAACCAAGACAGAGGAGTGCCAGTAATCCCAATAGAAGCTAACCTGTCGAGAAGTATCTTATGTGAGACAGTATCAAAGGCAGCGCTCAAGTCAAGAAGGACAAGTATGGATAAAAGCCCAGAGTCAGCTGCCAGCAACAGATCATTGGTCTCAGTGCTATGGTGGGGACGAAAACCAGTTTGAAATTGTTCATACAAATTATTAGAGAGATGTTCATAAATTTAAATTGCAGTACACTTTTCCACTATCTTAGAAATAAACAGTAAATTTGAAATTGGACGAAAATTATCAAAGTTAAATGGATCAGCCCCTGGTTCCTTAAGTATGGGAGTAATAATAGCAGATTTAAGAGATGGAGGTACAGAACCAGAAACAAGTGAAGCGTGTGCAAAACACAGAATTCATTCATGTGTAGGGCCAAAGATTTGTCATTCAAAAGGTTTGAGTGAATTTCAGATGTTGTTTAGGGGAAGGGAATGTGTTAAAGTGATGAGAACTCACATTGGAACATGATAAACAGTTGATGTATCACAGCTCTGCAGTGATTAAACCTATATGGTATTCTTTCTTTTAAGTCAAATTAGCCAGAGGTATTGCATGTAATAGCCACTGAAGTGCCAATATATCAAGATACACAGTCTCAAAAGACACTTGAGCCACATTTAAAAGCATCTCTCTCTCTCTCTCTCTCTCTCTCTCTCTCTCACACACACACACACACACTGACCACGTACTACTGACCAATTGGTTAAAAGTAATTACACAAAAAAAAAACATTTAAAAACCTCTCATTTTGGCAAATATATTTCCTCTTGTATTTCTGTAATTTTTTTTATTATGACAACATTGCTTGTTTTCAAACATTTTGATAACACTTTATATTAAGGTGGCCTTGTTACACATGTTACATGTACTTACTATTATAATAACAATTAATTATGCATAATTACATGCAAGTAACCCTAAACCAAAACCTTATCCTAACCCTAACCATATAGTAAGTACATGTAGTTAATTAATATTACTCAGTATCTAAATTTATAAATTCACTCTAACAAGGACACCTTAAAATAAAGTGTAACCAAAATTTGTATTGATAGAAACATGGGAATGTTGATTAATGATTCGTTTTGTGATTCTATACGATTTTGATTCTGAATGTTTTTTGATTCTGAATGAAATGGAAAAATTAATAAGAAATGTGTTTTTAGCATTTTTATGTGTTATTAGTGTAGTAAGTGTATTGTTTTTTTATATATTAAATTAAATAACTGTAATTCATTGAGAACTTCTGCACTAAAAATATAATGTATGTTATGTAGATGTGTAACTGCTCAAAGGTTTACAAAATGTCTTTGTGCATACTTGATTATGACCCTTTTAATTATCAATTTGTGAGCAGCAATAGACATGAACATTCTTGCAGCCAGTATGAATGTCTTTTTCTATATAGTAAAGACCATCTTCAAACCTGGGAGAAATTATTCAGCAGAAATGCTCCTTATGACATACTAAATATTCCCACCTCTTAAACAGCGTTGTTGACTAAGTTCACTAAAAATCCCCTCACAGACAGGAAGTTAGAAGATCGGTTACAGTTACTTCTGGTGGTTGAGTTTTAAAAAAACATTTTAGGTTTAGGACTGAGAGAAAGAAAGAGAAAAGGAACTGATAGACAAAGATTGACGTTGTTATGAAACTATGGTGAAGTTGAGAAAGGAGCAAAGTTTGCTTATATCAAATCAAATGAATGCAAGTAGCTCAAAGGTCGAGTTTCATACTGACTGTCTGACGTGAACTGCGGTATGTCAGTATCTGTGACTGAGCTGTGTCTGCATGCACACCACTTATAATAACTCATAACAATAGTTTGACATCATAGAAATTATTTACCTTGGTGTTTACATCTTTACTTGTGGTATTTGCATCTCTCTTTTTCCATGAAAAAAAAAACTCCTCATGTAACCCAATATCTTGGGTTATATGATATCTGTATATTTGATATCTCTATATAATATTTGAATAATATTTTCTGTGTTTCTTACAGTGAAGACCATTTTTAATCCAGCTCCAGCTATTGTGGACCTGTGTTCTGATTTCTTCAAAGCATCTGACGTTTTCTGCTGCAATGAGTCTGAGGTGAAAAACAATATCAGTCACATTGCATCAATAAACAAACAGATTTTTACAATTTGCTGCTATGGTTCTGTGTGTGGTTGCCAGGGTGTTGCTATGCTAAGGTGTTCAGAGTGATTTTAGTGAGTTGCTAGTGTGTTGCCATTTCAAAATAAAATAAGTCATTATAAAGTAATAAATGAACATTATTATTATCCAAAAAGCAGTTTGACATTAATTTTGAACCCAAATTGTATTTTAACTGCATTCACCTGTATAGCCTATTTTCTAAACAGGTCTTCAGGTTCACTGAAAAAAGCTTACTAGAGCAAAACGAGTTCATTTATCTTGCCTGGTCATGACCTGCATACTAGAAACAAAATACAACAGCCCAAAAAGTCACCTACCTGCCAAGTTGGCAGTTGTGTCTTACAGTAACTGTTATGTTCGGGGCCGCCCTCTTTCACATCGTGGCAGGGCGAGATGAGAGACAAGGGATTGGATTGATGGGAAACAGTAAAGTTAAAGCAGCCACGACCAGGCAGGCAGATGCACAGATGGTGTGTCAGTGTGGCCTGGGGCGAAAGCTCCAGCGTTACTCAGAGTTTGAACCAGAGTGCTCCGTCAGGGCAGCTTTGATGTGGCTGGGAGGTTGGAGGGGGGGAAATGTACAGGTGGGACTTAAAAGTGAGAGCCCTCAGTACAAATCAACCCCTTAGATTCAGCCCTCATCCCAGCGCACCCATTCGCATACCCACTTGGCTCTCACCCGATGACTTCAGTTGCAAGAGTGAATGATGAATCATCAGCAGTTTACAGAAGCAGATACCCACACATTTATGAGCAATGTCTGCACTTTTCTGTTTTGGCAGCCAGCTGGGAAAGATTGATGGCAAAGCTTAAAGTACACAAATACAAAGGGGATAGTTATTGCCCTGATCTTTCAGTACGATCTCCTCTCTTTTGGTGGGCTTGAGTTGGGGCTATCCTTCACACCTGCACCATACACTTCTTCATACCCTCTGTTATTCGTGGAGGACATCATATATGGTTTATGTCCATTCTTTTCCATGTATTCTTAACCACTGATCTTCAGCCAGATCTGTGTAGTCACATGAAGTGGTACATAATGAAAAATGATAGGCAGTAACTTTTCTTCACTAATCAAAAGCAAAAACTTTCTTCACCTCTGAAAAGAGCATTTTTTGCATTCCCTGTAATTTTTCTCTCCATTCCCAATTTCTATTGTGTAACAACTACATTATCCATGTTTCATGATACAAACCATTCCTGATGGATAAAATTGAGTCCGGCCTCAGTTTCAAAATAAAATATGTCCAGTTACTTAGATACTACTATTTCATATTAAGGTAACACTTTATTTTAAGGTGTCTGTTACACGTTACATGTACTTACTATTATAATAACAATAAATTATGATTAATTACATGCAAGTAACCCTAAGCCAAACCCTAATCCTAACCATATAGTAAGTACATGTAGTTCATTAATATTACTCAGTACTTAAATGTATAATTACACTGTAACAAGGAAACCTTAAAATAAAGTGTAACCCATAATAAATTTAACCCATGTTGTTATTTAGTTATCTAGCTATGTCAACAGTTTAACCAACTTTAACATTTTACAATCAGGCTACATTTGTTATAATTAATTATGATTAATAATTATAATAATTTACGCATTTAGCAGACACGACTTACAGTGCATTCAGACTATACATTTTTTACCAGTATGTGTGTTCCTTGGGAATCGAACCCACAACCTTTTGCACTGCTATCGCAATACTCTATCACTGAGCCACAGGAACACTTGTTTATTTGTTAATTCGTGTTTGCTGATAATATGTATTAACTAATATCAATGTATACAACCTGAAAAATAAATTAACTTTAACCTAGATTTCTAAATGCTGTATCATTCGATCATTGTTAGTTCATGATAACTCACGCATGATTTGATGTTGTAATGTTGTGTTAGTACCAACTTTAATTAAACTCAGATTCTCTTTAAACAGTCACTCAGCTATATCAGTAGTTGATCTGCAAATGTAAACTGTTCAATTATGCTAATGCATGCTGTTGCACAACTCGCATCTATGCTGAGACACAACCTTGCATTGCTTTCTAAATTTTGCCCTGACACATTTCAGAAAGCAACTACACATGAAATCAAGTTGTTTGACATATAGTATGTTTCTGGCAATGGTAATTTAAACAGATTAGCACAGTTGCATATTAGCTGTTAGCATAAATGTGACTGTTTTCTCATTATCTTGTGGTGTTCCTTATAGGCAGAGTTGTTGACGGGTATGTCTGTTACCTCAGTGGAGGATGCCAGTCAAGTAGGCCTGGAGCTGCTAAACAAAGGTTGTGGTTCGGTCATTGTCACCTTGGGGCCACAGGGCTGTGTGGTGTGTCAGCCCACAAATACGGCACCTAAACACATTCCCACCACCGCGGTGACTGCTGCGGATACCACGGTAAGACTGCAGTTGTTGTAGTTGCAGGTATTTGTAATACAGAGACAGTACATTAGTTTTGTTGAGTCTATAAAAGTGTTGTTTTTGATAAAAGTGCTGTCTGGCAGATTTATAAACTAGGGTATGTATTAGATAACAGTTCAAGAAAATCAGAACATTGCACACCTAATCCTCCTTTTTAATGGAGCAAACTGTGATTTAAAACTGTTCAGGCACTTGAAGTATGAAGGAGAAGAAATTCATCATGCAGCATATTGAGTTAGTTATCTGCAACAGACATTTCTGGCGCTCAAAGCCTGTGACTCAGCACGTACTAGGGGTACTTCCTGGGTAGGTTCTCTAACACTTTATTCTTTGTTATAACAGCACGCCCCATTCATTAGGTTAGTCTCACAAGAACGCATTTTGGTTTTAGGTTTGATGAAAGATTTTGATCCACTTCAAATGTTGAATTTCACTTCAAATGTCAGATTCTTTTAAATATTTTTGAATATACAAACAAGAAATGATGTGAGTGTTTAATGAGTGAGTCATTGAGTCGTTCATTCAAACGATTCGTTCAAACGGCAGATTCATCAGATATTTATGCGTGGGCTTTAAAGGGGTCATATGATGCGATTTAAATTTTTCCTTTCTCTTTGGAGTGTTACAAGCTCTTGGTGCATAAAGAAGGTCTGTAAAGTTGCAAAGACTAAAGTCTCAAATCCAAAGAGATATTCTTTATAAAAGTTAAGAGTCAGCCACGCCTACCTAAAACGGCTCGTTCTAACACGCCTCCACATACCTACGTCACTATGTGGGAAGATTTGCATAACGCCGCCCAAATGTTCACGCAAAGAAATAAGGCGTAACTTTTATTCTCGCTGTTGTTGCCGCCGCCAAATATTCAGATGTGTGCAGCACATTTTATGGAGGACCGTTTCCTGATCCTGGGAGAGTAGACTACAATGCCGGCTGTTCTGACTCAAAGACTTTTTTTTTATATTTAAAGAGTTTTTATATTTTATATATTTAAAGCAAATTTTTTGGACAGTGTAGAGTAGGGCTTGTTGTTTGTCATTTCTCCAATCACAAATTCTCAGATCACATAAAAAAATGGTTAAAAGACAGTATAAGTCATTATAATCCATAATTATGTCCCCACTGGATGCAACGAATGCCTTGTTTATAATGGGTTTTCATGTTTTTGGATCATCGCTCCAGCCTGACAGGGCATTATCACAATATGGTAAGGGGCATAACATTTCCGTCACACGCTTGAGGTATTCGGCCAATCACAACGCACTGGATAGCTGGCCAATCACAGCACACCTCGCTTTTTCAGACCGATGAGCTTTGTAAAAATCGACGCATTTCAGAAAGGCGGGGCATAGAGGAGAAACAATAATGTACAGTATGTGGAAAATAATGTTTTTTTTTTTTACCTTAAACCGCATAAACACATTTCATTACACCAAATACACAAAATAATATTCTTTTTAGCAGCATCATATGACCCCTTTAATGAAACTTTGATTCAACCGATTCGTTCAAAACATGGAATCAATCAACAATGAATCGGCTGGTTGCTGTGAGATGCGCTGTGTTTCCGCCTAAAATGTAAGTAACCTAATATTATTGTATTTGCTTATTGAACTGTTTATAGAACTATTAAACAGTCGTAATGGTGAAAACGTTGTGTGATGTTGCCTAACTAACTGCATTTTAAATATAAAAACTTACCATTTAGAATTTTTACCTCAGGATGCTGAGTTTCTTAGTGTTGCGCGTTTTGATTTCTCCTGGAGAGGCTGCGTGAGCCTCGCCTCAGCAATAGATGCATAATATATAGTAGCTATATCCACCATTCTCCACTTACTCTAAATGTAATAAAATCAGAATAATACTTGCGTTTTATACATAGTTATTTTTGGTTACTGATGTTTTAATCATGTTACTTGTCTGGTGTTAAAGGGGTCATATGATGCTGCTAAAAAGAACATTATTTGGTGTATTTGGTGTAATGAAATGTGTTTATGCGGTTTAAGGTTCAAAAAACACATTATATTGTACACCACATATACACCACATACTGTACATTATTGTTTCTCCTCTATGCCCTTTCTGGAACGCGTCGATTTTTACAAAGCTCATCGGTCTGAAAAAGCGAGGTGTGCTGTGATTGGCCAGCTATCCAGTGCGTTGTGATTGGCCGAATACCTCAAGCATGTGACGGAAATGTTACGCCCCTTACCATATTGTGATGATGCCCTGTCAGGCCGGAGCGATGATTCAAAAACATGAAAACCCATTATAAACGAGGCATTCATTGCATCCAGTGGGGACATAATTATGGATTATAATGACTTATACTGTCTTTTTACTCATTGCGTTGCATCGCGCCGCGTAAACATAAAACCATGTCTGCATTTGTGATCGGAGAAATGACAAACAACAGGCCCTACTCTACACTGCCCAAAAAACTCACTATAAAAATATATAAAATAAAAAAAATCTTTAAATATAAAAAACGTACTTACAGTCTTTGAGTCAGAACAGCCGGCATTGTAGTCTACTCTCCCAGGATCAGGAAACGGTCCTCCATAAAATGTGCTGCACACATCTGAATATTTTGGTTGAAGTGTTCTGGAACAGTGTTGTAAATACAATTTAACCACTGATTTCTAGTCGTGTTCATTTTTGGAAGGCCAAACAAAGTAGTTTCGTTTTCACAACGAAACACAGCGTCACACACGGCAGCCTAGAGTGAGCAGAGGCCGGGGGATAAAGTGAGGAACGACCGGAGGGCTAGAGTGAGCAGAGGCGGCGGATTCGACGAAGGAGAGGCCGGCAGGCTTGCGGCAACCACGTGACGACCCCGGGCTGGACTCCACTTCGTCCACGGTGAAAGCCGATCCGGCGATCCACAGTGCAAAGTTGTAGTATTTCCTCAGCAACCAGCATGGATCAGACCGTGGACCATGGATCCAGGCATGACGAAGCAGATATCGTCCTCTTTTGGAAGACCAAACAAAGTATTTTTGCTTTCACAACGAAACACACAGCACATTCACAACATGGCGGCGGCGGCAACAGCAATACTACAGCGAGAATAAAAGTTATGCCTTCTTTCTTAACGTGACCATTTGGGCGGCGTTATGCAAATTTTCCCACATAGTGATGTAGATATGTGGGGGCATGTTAGAACGAGCCGTTTTAGGCAGGCGTGGTTGGCTCTTAACTTTTATAAAGAATATCTCTTTGGATTTGAGACTTTAGTCTTTGCAACTTTACAGATCTTCTTTATGCACCAAGAGCTTGTAACACTCCAAAGAGAAAGGAAAAATTTTAATTGCATCATATGACCCCTTTAATGAAGCGTTAATGACGAGTCTATGTGCCGGGGCTCAGCCCCGGACGTCCCCGGCCCAATTTAAACCCTGCTTATAACAGCTATTGATAACAACACCCATGCACCACTCAGACTGGGTAGACCTTATAATATACAACAGATAGTCTGTGAACGGTCTATTCGTGGTCCACCTGAAGCTAAAATTATGACACAGTATCTGAGAAGAGCAGATGTTTGTATACCCCTACAAATTGGTCATGCCACTACAGTCATGAGTGAAAGATATTTAGTCATCATTCATAATGTGCCCATACCATATGATCCACAAGCATGATTCATAGTTGAAGTAGTATGTTTTGAACGGTAGTAACGTTAAACACAATTTATGCATCATTTGGAACATTTGAATTGACATTTTCATGCACCTGGTATGATTCTGATGTGGGCTTTAATGACATGAGAAATGAAAAAAAAAAAAAGAGAACTAAGCATTTCTTGGAGTTTCACGTCATTTCTTACTAAAACATCTGATTGTTGTCAGAAGTTCAGTCTGGAGTTCTACGTATATGTTAATTTAATATGGCTACTTATTTGCCTCACATTTTTTCAAGTCTTGACATCAACCTTAATGTTAATTGTGGATGTGGTTTTTCTGGTTTCTCTTCTGATTGTAATCTCTGAAGCGGCTTACTCATTTCACTTCGGATTCGCTAATTCTGGCGTCATCATAACTCATATTTCCTGTTTATTTTATTGCTCTCTAAATGTCTGGCCTACTGAGTCTTTTGAAGAACAACAAGGTCAATCATTAGTCACATATTAGAATGCGTCAAGCCAGAAAGAAAAGTGGACACATCGTGATGCAAGTTAAGTGATAAATATGTCCCGTCAGTGACCAAAACTGGCCAAAAAAGATTCTCTGGTCTTTATTTTTATTATTCTTTGGATTAGAAACTGTCTTGCAATTCATATAGACTGCATTTCAGTTCTCTTTTTTTAACCACGTCTTTCATGGTTAAAAAGCAAATTTGCAACTTCGTCCCACTCCTACTTGTTAGCATGACGTGCAGACCACCATCGGTCTATGTATCTAAAATTCTAAGAAAAGGAGATTTATTTGGAGAAGTTCTCAGACATAAATGGGGATTTTCATTATTTTATAAACCCTGTAATTTTAAGCAAAATGAAGCAGTGGATTCACAGCAAGATTCGTGTGAGACCACATCCATCTCTTTTAGTCAAGGATTCTTCTGCAAATCACTGCACAGTCATACAGAAAGATAGCAGTTAACTCAACGGACTTCTCTCTGGTGATGTACATCTGTCAAATGATTTAGTTTGCTTTAAACTCTCAGTTAACCCCTGCAAGCTTGCATTCATTTTTGATTGAAACATATGTCAAAAATAGTATTAATTCTAGTAGCAGAACATCAGTTGTGAGGAAGGTTTGCAAATTACAAATTCACTGCTGTGATAAGTTATGTTTTGATGTATTTTTTCTGCAAGCTTTTTAATTTCCAACAACTTCAGTTATGTGCAATAATCACTTGCACATTTGCAAGACTGTAATACCAAGCATCAGCGACTTATTTTTATGGATTATTTACAGTACATACAAGATTTTGTAAGTGGCACATAGTAATGTAAGCGTTACATGAACAAGGCTAGG